CCCCTCCCCGGGGCTGCTGCGGCGGCCGAAGGTGACCCGATCTTCGGATTTTGAGGCGAGGCGTTGTGTTTGGCTCCGGATGAAAACCTTGTAGAGTCCTCGGTTGATGCCGGTGATCCGCGACGCCTTTTGGTGTCGTCCTCCTCCCTGTAGGCGCGTTGCTGAAGAGTCCAAATCACTAAAATCCCTCAAGTCTAGGTCTCCGGGCGAAGGTCCATGATTTGGTTTTGCTGGATCGGGCGATGACGACGTTGTGTACGTCGCTACCTCCATGGAGGCATCGTCTTGGAGACCTTGACTGTGGGTGGTTACCGACGGCCCATGTGGTTGGTTGGGGGTGGTGTGTGGTTGTTGTTGGTGGTGGTGCGGCCGGCTTGGGGTCGGCGGTGGTTTTGTTCTCTTCTTTGGCTGTGTTCGTGCTCGAGTGCTCCTTGGTGTGTCTCTGCTAGGCGGTGCCCTGCGGCTACGCCGGTGGCACACAGGTGTCGTGGCGCAGTCTCGGCCTCGCATCACCGTTCGAATGTACCCCCGACACAGCTGGTGTCGCGGCGTTGTGCAGTCTTAGTTGCGCAGGTGCCTTTCGATTGCGTCGAAGGTACAGTGCCATGGTTTGGTCCGCTAGGCTATGCTCTTCGACTACGCCGGTGGCACACAGGCACCGTGACGTCCGTCTCGTCTCGTGTGACCCTTCGAATGTGCCCCACGACACATGTGGTGTCGCGGCGTTGTGCAATCTCGGATGCGCGAAGCCTTACGACTGCATCGATGCTGCAGTGTCGTGGTTTGGTTTTGGCTGGCCGATGCCGTTCGATTGCACAGGCGGTGCTCTTTGTTTGTTTTGTGTTGTGTTTCCCTCTTTGTTCTCTCCCTTGTGTGTTGTCAGTATGTGTTGTTTTGCTTTATCTCTTCTCCCTTGTGCCCTATGTACCTCTGGTTCACTTGAACCCTATCTTGCAACAAGGCCGCAAAGTCTTATAGGCAAAATGAATACAATTCAGGTGGGAGGCTTCGCCTCCCCCCGGTGACCTTAAAAAAAAGCCCGT